GGTTAGATAGGAAAAAAATCAGGCTGTCCTGAAGACTGAAACAAAACCTCACTTCAACCTCGGGGGAATTCTGAAGATAAGTGTTTTCCCTGGGTCATTTCTCAGACCTTTCTACCCCCTAGATCCAGGCAGTCTGTGGTTGTGGGCTGCTCCAAGAAGGCAAAGGAGTCAGATCTCTGAAGGAGGCTCTGAAGGAGTGAGATCTCTGAAGGAGTAATCACTGGGAATTGTCCAGTGACAACATTCCTAGCAGTTCGTATAATAAATTTTCCTGCTGATGGGGGATTCTAGGGATGGGAGGGGAAGCAAGGGAAAGGTCAGATCACAGCGTGCATCGCAAGTAACATGAGATTTTGATTTGAATTCATATTATATTTCCTAACTGCGAGACACTGACAAATATGCCATTGTCCCCCACTTTTTAAATCTGTGTGATAGGATTACTGTCTAGTTAGACAGTTAATGAAGATTAAATAAGATAAAATTTGTAAATAACTGGAACATACTAAGTATTCTGTAGTTGTTTATAGACAAAGGAAACATAAACTGATATTTCCTTGTCAGAGATACATTTTCCTGAAGATGGGTTTCTCCTTGAAAATATTTCTTCTATGTTCAGCCAAGAAATATGTGAGTTCCTACTATGTTAATAGTTACGTGAATATATTAAAAAGTCCTAGAATTTCTGTTTTCCAGTTAAAATTTAGTTGAGGATGTATTACTAGAATATGATGAGATAAATAGCAAAAGATGGAACCTGAGGTACATGATGGGTAAGTTTAGAAGTGTAGGCCATTGTGCCTGTGTGGTCGAAAAAGGTTAATGGTCGTTGACATTGAACTGCCCTTTAAAGACTGGTTCCCACTTCCCTCTATAAATTGTCATAAATTCAGGGAATGACAGGATTAAAACTTGAATGACCAAGTTTTTTATGTACATAGGTGGTGTTAGTAAACCAGTTGTCTTTAGTAGAATATTTGTGTTGGGAATGGTGGGATCAAGTTTAGAATAGAAATTAGAACCACATTACCAAGTCTTAGTATACATCCAGAGCTGGAATTAGATTTCATAGACCCCCACAGAAAAACAATAGTTAAAAATTGAATGTGAACTAAGCTTCAGAGAGAGAGCATGACAGAGAATGAATATGAGAAAGGGTGTGAAGATTGGGAAAGAGAGCGGTAGAATGTGGAAGTCTCAGGGAGCTTTGGTTGTGGGAAAACTGTTGACCGCACCTGAGGGGAAAAATCACATATTGTGAAAAAATTAAACAAGGATGTTAAAAACAACAAAAAAGACTATCTCCTGATTGAAGACTGGAGATTAAATATTCAGAACAGTAGGAAAAAAGCCGGGCACATACTGTTATGAAAAACAAGAGAATTCTAAGGCAAGAGAGTTCTAAGAAGCAGGGGTGCAAACTATATGGGATGCTTAGAAAAGACCACTAACCAAAATGGCCATTTTATGTTTCTGCTTGGCCCTCGGCAGTTTTAACTTTTTTCAAGATGACTAAAAAATTTTAATTTCTACTTCTTAGGATGACCTATGTTCCAACTACTTGTGTCTTCACAATTCCAAACACAGTGTCATTTACTTCCTCTCTTTCTTCAACAAATATTTGAGTACCCATTATGTGCTAGGCACTATGTTTGCAACTAGGAATATAATAAACAAAGCAAAATCCCCACTTCCACTAAGCTTACATTCTAGATAGGGTAGATAGTGGACTATAAATACTAGTTTATCTATCTTGTGGTAGAAGAATTAGGTCAGCAACAAAGCGTGGACCAATTCACACAGGATCTTGTAGACTCAGCTAGGGATTTTACTCTGCATGAGAGCAAAAGGAGTTTATTTGAAGAGTGTGAAACAGAGGAAGGACATTAATTTTATAATGTTTTCTTCAGGGATGTTGGTGTGTAATTGTCTTTTCTTGTGGCATCCTTATCTGGTTTTGATATCAGGGTAATGTTTACCTCATAAACTGAGTTTGGAAATGTTCTGTTCTTTTTTGTGTTTTGGAAGAGTTTGGGAAGGACATTTTCCTTCTTCAAATGTTTGGTAGAATTTCCTAGTGAAGTGTAGAATTTACTAGTGAAGTCTTCTGGTCCTGAACTTTGGTTCATTGGGAGGTTGTTGATTACTGATTCAAAGTCCTTACTTGCAGTCAGTCCAGGTTTTCTATTTCTTTGTGATTCAGTTGTGGTAGGTTTGTTTCTAAGAATTTATTATCTATTTCCTCTAGGTCTTCTAGGTAAATTTTGTTCATAATAGAATCTTTCAATGCTTTGTTATTTCTGTGATACCAATTGCAATATCACTTTCATTTCTAATTTTATTTGAATCCTTTTTCTTAGTGTGTTTAACTGAAACTACACTTTACTAAAGGTAATGACAAGGTAGGGCTCCCTAAACCCCTCCCATTCTCTAGGGTGTCTGGGATGCAACTGTGATTATGTTTGGGAGATTTTCAAAGTGGGGGAAGGACTCCCCAGCAGCTGAGCGCCTCTCTCTTTCACTTGTATTGTTAATGGGTCTGGTTGTCCCGATGGCTCTTACTCCTTGCAGGCCATCTGGATCATAAAGTCCACCACTGTGTTATTATAGCCAAACTCATTGTCATTCTAGGAAGTGAACTTGACAGAGTGTTCTCTGAGAGCAATGCTAGGCTTGGCATTGAAGATGGAGGAATGGGTGTCACTCTTGATACACAGGAGACAACCTGCTCTTCAGTATAGCCCAGGATGCATTTAATGGGGCCCTGTGATGCCTGTTTCATCACCTTCTTGATGTCATCATACTTGGCAACTTTTTCTACGTGGCAGGTCATGTCCAAACTGACACATTGTGGGTGGGGACATGAGGGACTTGCCAGTGAGTTTACTGTTCTTCATGGTGTTAATATTACCTTCAGCCTTGGGGTTAGTGCCAGTAGAAGTAAGCGTGATATTCTGCATAGCCTCTTGACCATTATTCCACAGCTTTCCAGAAGAATGGTCCATGGTGTTATGGGTAATAGTGATGGCATGGAATGGACATGAGTGCCTTTATGCTATCAAAGTTGTTATGGGTGACCTTGCCAGAGGGGCCAAGCAGTTGATGGTACAGGAAGTCTTGCTGACAATCTTGAGGGGGTTGTCATACTTTTCATGGCTCATGCCCATCACAGATATGGGGGCATCAGCAGAAGGGGCAGAGGTGATGGCCCTCTTGGCCCTACCCTTCATGTGAGCCCTAGCTTTTTCCAAGGTAGTGAAGATACCAATGGATGCTACAATATATTCAGCACCAGCTCCATTCCATTTGATGTTGGTGAGATGTTGCTCCTGGGAGATGGACTTTCCATTAATGACAGATTTCTTGTTCTCTATCTTGACTGTGCCATTGAACTTACAATGGGTTGAATCATACTGAACATGCAGACCATGTATGGTTGAGGTCAAAGAAGAGGTCACTGATGGCAACAGTATCCACTTTGCCAGAGTTAAAAGCCCTAGTCACCTAGCCAAATCTTTTCATTCTGACCTTCACTATGGTGTCTCAGAGATGCAATTGGCATTGTATGAGAAGAGGTGTCTGTCTGAACTGGGAGTAGCGGAGAGTCTTTTAAAATATTTTGTTGTAAGTAAAAATCAAAATCAACAAGCAACTATAAACCAGACACACTACAGGGGGGTGGGGGTGAGGGGCGAGGAGTGGAAGGACTAGAGTCAAAATAAGGGGGGCGTGCAATTGTATGGGGAATATAACCAAAATGAAAATGCATACATTGTGCAAAGATGAAAAAAGATGTAAGAATTATATAAAATAAAATATTTAAATAAAAAAATAAAATAAAATATTTTGTTGTAGTTTTAAGTCTTTTAAGTCTTACAGTGAATAGTTGTTAGGTTGATTTATTTAAATACTTATTGCTTGTCTAACATTAATCCAAAATTTAAAATGCATTAATATTCATCCTATATGTTTTAGATGCCTTAAAATATAAATTGTACTTTAAAACTTTGGCAAAAGGGAATTTTTTCTGTAAGAGGCAAAAAAAATGAGAGCACGAGATCTAAAAATCATGTCATACAAAGAATATTTGATGGTTCTCTGGTTGGTTATTCTAAAGAAAGCAGGGCTAAGTAAGAGAACAGATCTTTGTGAAATTATTGATGAGTCACCTCTTAACCAAGCATAGACTTTTTGGGGAGAGGATATCTGGAACAGATTTCACTTAAACATAAGGCAGAAAGTTTGTCAGTAATAGGGCTGTTCATCTGTGGTGTGCAATGAATCACAAAAGAGTGCGTTTCTGATAACATTAAAGCAAAAGTGGACTACCACCTGTCAGGACAGTTATGGTATGCTTCCTGAATTGGGGGGGGGGTGGATCAAGGTTTCTTACAAATTCATTATTTTTATTTTAAGCATTATTTTTTTAAGGATTTATTTATTTACGCACACAAGAACTGGGGTCCAGGCCAGAGGTGCGGGGAGGGGGCGAGGAGATTCACCAGAGACAGAGCGGGGAACAGAACAGGCAGATCAACTGAAACACACTGCTGAGGGGAGCAGTGGGTGAGTCAGGAGAGGTCTGCTGCACCATGTGGGCAGCTCCCTGGCTGGGGATCAAACTCCCGTGCCACAGTGGCTGCGGACAGCCTCACATGTTGTGTCTCAACCCTTTGCACCACTAGGGAGTCCCCTTAAACATCATTTAATACTGATATGTATTTAAGTTTACAAAGATATCAGTAGTTTACTAGAAGATGATGCATGTTGATATGCACACAAAGTAACTAGAGTTCATCAAATTGTGAGGCATTCAAAATGTATAGAGTGTTATTAATTTTTTTACTATTAATTTTAAAAATTTTTACATCATTGTTCATTTTTAAACAATATTTGCTTCCCCCCATGCCCTCAGGTGTAGTCCCCATAGAGTTTCCTTTGCCAATGGAGTGTTACTAATTTTGATCACTGTCAAACTTAAAACTCCTTTTCTTTTTTAGGGATATCATGATAACACATTTTGAGCCTTCAATCTCCTTTGAGGGCCTTTGCAATGAGGTTCGAGACATGTGTTCTTTTGACAACGAACAGCTTTTCACCATGAAATGGATAGATGAGGAAGGTGAGTAGTAAAGAGAGGACTGCCTGTGTAAGCATTTGATTTAATATACTATTCTGTCATTTGTTTCTAAAATATATTAACAGTCTCAGTGTGAGGGGGAAAGGCATTAGAAATTTGATGCCATTCTTAATTTTCTTTACCGGGATAAATTTGTGTTTAAATTCAAATGTACCAAAGAGTACAATCTTTGTTTTCCCCTTACTCCAAAATGGTGACTTTTACTTGACATTTTCAAGGTAAACATATCAAATAGTGTTATGTTTTACTTTAATTTTGAATATGTATTACCTCATGTGTTAATGTAAGAGCTTACCTTCAATAATTTGATTTTTTTATTGAATACTATAAAGAAAATGTTATGGAATGAAAGTGATTGTGACAAACATTATCTCAAAGGTGGTGGTAGAAACTTGATATTTAGTGACTTGTAGTTAGAAAACATTTATTGAATCTGTCTGCTGTGCTGAGGCTAGACATTTTCTATCCTCATAGTATCATAGGGAGACAAACATGTGAATGAATGTAAATGTATAGAGACCACAGAATACAAAGAAGTAGCATCTACGTCTGCCTGAAACATCTGTGACATATGATCTAAACTTCACTATAGCCGAGTAAAAGTATTTGAGGTGGAGGAGGTGAAGGAGAAACCATTTACAATAAATAATAAAATACAAAAAGGCACACAGGTATGAAAAATATGGCATGTGGGAAAGAGCAATAATTCTTTAAATCTGAATTGTGGGAAGTGGTAAGGTATGGACTTAGGCTAGATCTGAGCTTCTCAAAGTGTAGCCTGGAAGTTGCTAGAGAAGGCACTCTTAGGCCCACCATAGACTACTGACTCCAAAACTCCATTTTTAACAGGACTCCCAGGTGAGTTGCATGAATATTAAAGTTTGAGAAGTGTAGGACTAGGTCCTCATAGACTTTGCAAACCACATTAAACTTTATTTTATATGATGAAATGTCATTGAAGTGTTGTTAAAAGATACCTTAAATATTCTGGTTTTGTAAAATGGTTTTCTATTAATTATAATGGATGTGGAATTTCATTTGGAAAAAAACACATTATAAAATTTAGCTTAGTATTGGAGGCCATTTCTTTGTTGCCTAATATGAAGAGCCCCAGAAAGATATTAAACCACTCCAAGCTACATGTAAACTTAAACCCATTTTCATTTTGTAAAGTATATTTTACAAAGTTTCTCTAAGGTAACCCAAGTCCACTATTTGGGAAAAGTAGTACAAATGTTTAGGCAATTTTAGAAAAAGTCTTCTGTTTGCCTTTTGTTTTTCTCTTTCTCCAGTGACAGTTCTAAGGAAACCAGTGGTCAAAGCTTAGTATATATACTTCTAGATATTTTGTATGCATATACAAATGTGTCAATACATTATTTATACTTGCAGTTTTTTTTTTTTTTAAAGATTTATTTATTTATGTATGCAAGCACCAGGTACAGTCAGAAGCGCGGGAGGGTGAGAGAATTCACCAGAGCCAGAGCGGGGAGCAGAACAGGCAGATAGACGGAGGACACTGCTGAGGGGAGCACTGGGCGCGGCAGGAGAGGTCTGCGCACCATATGGGACCCTCCTTGGTGGCCGGGGATCGAACCAGCACTACAGAGGCTGCTGGCAGCTTCGCAGCCAGCGCTGAACCGCTGCACCACTGGGGAGGCCCTATACTTGCAGTTTTTCAACACAAGAAGAATTATATCATGTACAAACAACTAACAGCATATGTGTATATGTAGGACATTTTTTCATTTTGTTGTGAATTTCACCATTACCATTTTAAAACACTGCATAGGCATTTCATGGTTTTTAATCTTTCATTGATGGACATTGGGACTATTTCTAGTTTTTTACTACTATAATCAATATGTAATGAACATTTTTATATGTAATTATGTGCTACCCTAAGGTATGCTCTGTGGAGCAGATTTGTAGAGTGTGCACATCATAAATCTTGGTAGCTAGTGACAATTTGCTATTAAAGAATGTTAAAGCAATTTATTGCACAACTAAATTTATGGCACTACAACATTGAGAGTGTCCCTTCACTCTTGCCCTCACAAACCTCAGATATGATGAATCTTTAACATTTTTACAGTTTTAATAAGTGAAATGCTAGCGTGGTAATTTAAATTTTTATGACATGAAAGTAAGATGGTATCTTTATTCAACAACTTTTTAACATGCTCTGTGGCAAAGTTAGTTTAAATATTGTTAATTATACATGGTGTGAATATCTCACAGTATGTCCAGCCTGAAAATGAGATTATATAACAGTGTAGTGTATAGAATATAGTTAACATCAATAAGTTGATGCTTATAATCAATCAATGTTAATTTTAATCCAGTCTTGATCACTACCTGCTATTAATTTGCTTTTTAGGGCTTTTTTCAATCAGTGCACATAGAAATCACTAGATAATGCATTTTATAAAGGGTAATTGATTTAGAGACAATTCACTAAAATTTTTTATAGTACCCTGAATTTTGTATTGGCTTTGCCCTGGGAGTTCTGTTCCCACATTGTCATATGGTTGTGTCTTTCTTATCATTTGGGTCTTTACTCAAATTTCCTGTCCTCCGAGAAGTCTTTTGTAGAAGCTGTCCATTTTTTTAATTTTATTTCTACACAGATTACATGCTAAAGATCAGAGATCTTGTCTGTTTTTTTCACCATGGAACTCTAGTACCTGGAGCGGTACTCAGTAATAGTATGCTCAAATAATATTTGTGAACGGTACAAAAGCCTCGTAGCAAGTCTTTCCATCACATAGTTTGATGTCAGTTATTAGAGATTTAAATGTTGGAGGTTGCTGTTTATTTTTCCTTGATATAATAGCATATTTTAATAAAGTTACATAGAACATTAAATTAATTCTTTGATGAAACAGTCTTATAATTTGTATTCTTTCTTCCTGAACAGTTATTGTGCCCTAATGTTCTGGCAGGAGGCTACAAAACTGTAGCCTTTGCTCTATCCAATTAAAAGTTTAAAATTTTCATAAAAATCTTACCCTGGTTAATTCTGATTCTGATGCCAGTCTTTTTTTTTTTTTTTTTTTTTGGTTTAGGCATACAGAGCTAGTAATAATTATTGTTATTAAGTTTCTTGCAGTTATTATTTTATTTATGCACACAAGAGCTGGGGTACCGGCCAGAGGTGTGGGAGGTGAGAGGGTTCACGAGAGACAGAGTGGGAAACAAAACAGGCAGACCGACAGAAATACACTGCTGAGGCGAGCAGCAGGGAGACAGGAGAGGTTTGCTGTACCATGTGGGTAGCTCCCTGACTGGGGATTAAACTCACACCCACAGCTGTCATAGCATGATAACACTGAGATTTAACCTCTACGCCACCAGGAAGACCCTTTTTCAAGTTTCTTGTGTTGAGATTTCTTGACCTTAGTTCTATGGTTTATAATTTTCATCAAATTTGGAAAATATTTTGACTATTTTCTTTTAAAGATTTATTTTTATTTATTTATGCATACAAGAACTGGGATGTAGGCCAGCGGTATGGGGTGTAAGAGGATTCATTACAGACAGAGTGGGGAGCAGAACAGGCAGATCTACTGAAATACACTGCTGAGGGGAGCAGTGGGTGAGACATGAGAGGTCTGCTGTGCCATGTGGGTTAGCTCACTTGCCAGGGGTGGAACTCAGGCCGTCTGTCTATAGCTTGATAGCACTGAGACTTTAACCCCTGCACCATGAGGGAGGCCCCTGGCTATTATATTTTCACATTTTTTTCTGTTACTAATCATCTCCTTTTGGGACTGCAGCTACAAGTATGCTATGTCTCTTGAAATTGTAAAGTTCACCAATGCTTTTTTTTTTTAAGCCTTTTTCTCTTCATTCTATTTTGTATGGTTTTATTGCTGTGTCTTTAAGGTCAGTAATCTCCAATATTTTGTCTGCCATTAATCTCATTTAAGTGCAATTTTCATTTCAGACTTTGTAGCTTTTATGTCTAGACATTCAATTTGGGTCTTTTAAAATAGCTTCCATTTGCTTAATACCTTCTAGCTTCTTGAACATGCTGGATATAGTTATAATAATCCTATCTTCAAGTTCTTTTATCTGTGTTAATTTAGGGTCTCTGTTTTTCCTGTTATGGATCATATATCCCTGCTTTTTCACATGCCTAGTATTTTACTGTTCAGCACATGTTTGGTTTCATTACCTTTTTTATTTTTTTTTACTGAAGTAACATTAGGCCTAGTTATATTGTTATATTTTATCAGGTTCTGCACATTGTGACTTTTGCTTTATTGGGTGTTGAATATATTCTTTTTTTTAGAAAGATTTATTTACTTACGCATACATGAGGTGGGGTGTAGGTCAGAGTTGTGGAAAAGTGAGAGGATTTGCCAGAGACAGAGTGGGGAGCAGAACAGGCAGATCGACTGAAATACACTGCTGAGGGGAGCAGCAGGTGAGAGAGGAGAGGTCTGCTGCACCATGTGCGTCAGCTCCCTGGCTGGGGATTGAACTCCTGCTGCAGTGGCTGACAGTAGCTGATAGTGCTGAGACATAACCCCTTGTGCCACCAGGGAGGCTCCATGGGTGTTGAACATATTCTTATAAAGAATTCTTATAAATATTTTTGAGTTTTGTTCTAGATTGCATTTAAATTACTTAGAAACAGTTAATCCTTTGATACTTGATTTCTACTTTTTTCTTTTTTTGTTTAGTTTTTTTGTTTGTTTTATGTGTAAGGTTAAATCTTACTGTTCCATCTTCTCCAGAAGTGTAAGTTGAAGATGGGTTACTTGATAGGACAGCATATGTTTCTGTAACCACTGATTTCTATTTGCAGAAAAATGAAGCAACAAACAGAAGTCCATTATTGTTTTGATTAGTGCTAATGTTGAATGGATAACTATCAAAACACCATAGCATTCTTTTTAATGCATATTTGTATTAAAGACAACCATAAAGACAACCAACTCTTTGACATTTTCTAACTTTAAAAAATTATATAG